TGTTTTGATGCCTCTTTGGTGAGGAGCCAGTTCTCAGATTATCCAATTGTGGTGTGCATAAGTCAGCCAGTGTGCAACTTCTAGCTAAATTTTTGGTAGGTAAGTGAGGATAAAATAAGAAATTACTATAGATCTATTGCTAGAATAATTATGCACTGATGTTTCTGTACTTTCTACAGTACATGCAGGGTATAGGAATTTCTTTACAAGGATCGTGTCTTCTTGCTGTGGATGGAGAGCACACATGGTTATTTATCTTCCACCATGTTCCACTAAAACTTTTGAACTACTGGTTTTGGAGAAAGTGTCTTTTGTAGCTGGGTCACTGGCCTCACTGTAAATTGTTCAGAAAGGATTATGTCCAGTCCACAGGTCATGTTAAGGTAAAAAACATCTATGTTTTAGCTATGCCTACAGTGCATGGTTATAAGCAGACACCAGATTGAATTCATGAATTGAATTGTATTTCAGTGTGAATTTACATCACATAAATACACAACTGATCTTGTCTGTTAAAAATATAGGAGGGAAATGGGCTTAATTTATGTGCTGTGCTCCTTAACACAAAAGTTTGGGGGTCTGATACTATTCTTTTTTACACAGATTTAGTAAGTAGATTATAGCTAGTTATTAGATTCAGAAATATCCTTTTCAATAATTCAGGTTTCTCATCTAATTCAGAAGTCATTTACTCATTATCTCTTTCTTTCTTGGGTCCAATGGCCTGTTTAAGTGCACATGATCTCCTTGACATTTTTCATTTTAGGATCTACTGATGTTCAAGGATGTGTCCATAGACTTCTCCCAGGAGGAGTGGGAATGCCTAGACTCTGCTCAGAGGGCTTTGTACAGGGAGGTGATGTTGGAGAACTACAGCAATCTGGTGTCTGTAGGTGAGGAGATTTTTCTATCAGTATTTTTACTGTTTTCCATCCTTTCATAGACAATGGTCTACTTTATACAAACGTTAGTTTTGTTGTGTAGGTCTTGGATTCCTTGAATTTACAAATTAGAATATTTGGAATATCTGCACAGCATTTCCACTTGTTAGAGGAATTATTTTTTGATTATAGAGCAATTAATATGATGCTGCAGCCAGAATCTTTAAGGTTCCATTTCCATAGCTGCATTTTGAATCGTTGATAGAACTCAGTGTATGAAAACTGAAAGAATTCCTCTTTATTCTAATGAGTCTGTCCTAAAATAGAAATTGAGAAATTATTTGGAGAGTCATCTCTGTATTTCCAGTGGAGCACAGTGTTGTGATAGAAATCACATACTTTCTAAAGAATCCAGCAAGCACATGCGCCTCCTTCTCCTACACAGGTCTTGCTGTGTTTAAGTCCGTTCTGGTCTCCTGTCTGGAGGAAAACAAGGAGCCCTGGAATGTGACTAGAAGGGAGACTGTAGCCAACCAGGTAGGACTCAGTGGAGGGGCCCAGGTGCAAGGACCTAAGGAAAGAGGGATTAAGACCTGAAAATTGTATTGCCATAGTCTGTTGCATTAGAGATCCTGATAATTTTATAGTACTTTCATCAAAACGTGTCCTGCGGTAAATGACAAACAACTTTTATTGCACATGAACTATGTGGCAAATACTAGTATGCTAATATTACTTCATTTATTTAATTTTTTCTTATCTCCCATGTCACATTTCTTGCTAATGCAAACTAGCAGCTGATTCATTTTCCTATGAATTCTTCCTGTACTACAGTTTTTTGAATGTGTATTTTTTTATTGTACATTTCATAAAAGCAAAACAAAACAAAATAAAACAAAAACCTTAATCATCTTTATACCTGCTACTCGATCTATTCTCCCCATCCAGATCTCATGCATTCTGTGATAGATATTAAGGTCTATCAACTCAAGTTTTTAGCATATCATGAAATTAGTAAATTTTGTGTCTTTTGTTCTGTTCCTCATTTGAAAATGTTTGTGCCATTCTGATTCTTCGTGTTTTTCATTGTTTTATACTTGCTAATGTATTTCTTCTGAAAATGATTGTAAGACTTCAATGAGAATCAGATAGTATATTTATATAGCATGAAATTCTATATTCTCTTCCCACTTTAAATAAGAATGTGTTAAATATTTGGGACTGTCTACATGTCATTTGGGGATTATTCTGTTTGATACCTACTGTTGATGTCTATATTTCCGTTTGGTCAGAAAAGAGATTGTGAATCATTGACTGGGTATAATATTTAAGACATATTATATTGTCCAGTGCAGTTCTTCATTTATTCTTTGATTTTGGAAGTTTGCACATCCTCCTGTGTGTGCGTGCACATCAGTCCTGGCTTCCTTGGGATGCATACTTTCTCATGCTGCTCATATACTTGTTCATTCATAGTCTTTCTGACTTCTGAATTCTTCACAGACAGGATACAGTTCCCAGAGTTGTGGTTTGGAGGATATGTCTTGTTCAGGCACCTTCCTTCTCTCTATAATTCTCGTCAGCCATGAGATGAGATTTCTGATGCCATGACCTTCCCTCTCATGGCTCAGTCTTGCCATTGTCTGTTAGTCTCTGAGCCCCATGCATACTGGACTGAAAGCTCTAAAGATGGAGCCAAAGATTAATGTTTTATTTCTTCAATAAATTTTCGCAGTTATAGATCAGATGAAAAAGATCCACAATGGACTCTCTGGTAATATAAGGGAAGATAGATAAAATTCAGTTTCAAATTTGAAATAATCTAAAAAGATTGAGATTACCTTAATTTCCGGGTGTGGTGTCACAAGCCTTTAATCTCAGCACTTTGGAGGCAGAAGAAGGTGGATCTTTGTGAGTAAGAGACCTGCTTGGTCTTCATAGTGAGTTCCAGGACAGCTGGAGCTAAAGAGAAACCCCATCTTGAAAAAAACAGAAAAAAAAAAAAAAATACCGGGAACACAAAGGTTACTGTGAATGCCCCCATTCAGTACTTGACTCATGTCTCAGTTTTCAGGCTTTCAGCATACATTGGGAAAGTCCTTGACTCCACATTGGATTTCAGGATGATTATAGGGCTTTGTGTTTGTTTTTTTTTTTATTTTCTGTCTTTTTGAATGGGATATTTTTATAGCCCAAGTAGGCCTGGAACTCACTATGTAGACCAAGCTGGCCTTGTACTCACAGAGATCTGCCTGCCTCTGCTGGGATTACAGGCACACACCACCACACCTGACTTATTACAGATTTAGTTTTGAAGTTTACCAGTAAAATATTTAAACTCACTGTATTTTATCCCTGTGCCACTTCGGAGTGTCTAAAGTTCATGATTTAGTATATTCTCCACTTCTCTTTAAAATATAACCATGAATTCTGAAGTGATGGCTGGCTGTCATGAGTTAATACATTTTTTCAAATGACCTTCTCCCTCCATCAATTTTAAGAGATACCTTTTTTGCAAGTCAATTTTAGTTAATATGTTCACTTTCTGTATGATATAGTTATTTTTCATTATTTCATGCTGTTTTTCCTCTTGTCTTTCTTGAGAAGAGATCACATACTATGACAGATTTCCTGCCTTTCTAATTAGTTGGTATTCTTCCCTAACAAAATTAACTACAGAATTTCACTTTTTCCTTCTTTTTCCTTAGTGTTC